TATTACTTTGAGTGTACTGTTATTTTACAATCGCAGGGGGCACCCTTCCCCTTAGGATGCTGACCACCATACTCTGTCTTGCTTTTCTTTTCTGATGCAAATGTCTCTCACAAGGGTCAGACTATCAATGGTTTGCCTTTGTTTTCTTTTGAATAATTTCCTATTCCATAGAGATTTGATCTTATGGAAGTCTTCTTCTGAAGTTCTTTTCAGACACATACTTGACGATATTGTTTGGAAGCTTAAGTCAGCCTAGAGCTATCTCTTCTTCCCAATCCAGATTCTTCACCTCAAAACTATGTCCATCCAATATCTTCACCCAGGTAGTCTCTGCCTTAGGGATTCATGAGATAAAATCCTTCTAGAGATGTGAGGACTATGGACTGAGTTGGTTGAAAGCTAAGTTTTTGTTTCACAGGGTAGACCTTAAAGTGGCTAATAATTTTATGTCATAACCCTAATTCATTTCCACTGGCATCTACAGAATATCTACGGATATTCTTACAAGCTTTACAAGATTTGATACCTTCCTTCATAGATTTCTATATGACACCGTAGGGGCACAACTCCTGGCATTCTCATTCACATATTGTCATGCTACTTGCTCAATGAAAAGTACAGTAATACAATGTGACTAATTTATATGACATCTAGAAAAAAAATAATTTTCGATGTTTCTTTGGCCACAAAAAGGACCAGTCAACAGAATGTGCTCGTTCCCCTGATAGGTAGAGCTGTATAATGAAATTTGCAAGTATGCAGCTTTTGTGACTAAAAGAAACTAGTGGTAGGTGCATCTACCTCATTGTTCCAACTTAGGACTCACAATGCAGTCTTCTCATCTTAAATCATTGGTAGCCTCTCCTATGAAGGAGGGTATAAATGGCATGATAATCCGGTGCTGCTTGGTAAATAGTTATATAGTTCTCACTACATATCAATAAGTTGGAATCCTGGATTGCACATTAATTTTTTCTGAGATTGGATTGTTAAATCTCTGAAAGGCTGATTAACTCAAATGAATGAGAAAAAAAATTAGTTCCTGAACTTGCAGTGAATGCTAGGAGCACTATGTTACTATGTAAGGCCCTGATTGATCAGTCGTTTCCACTTTTTCACTGGCATCTCTTTTCCTTTTCAAAATCCAACAAAGAGAAAAATATATTCCTTTGAGAAAAATGTTTGCATAATGACCTAGTAGTCATTCTTGATGAAGACAACAAATTACAAATTTATAATTATAAATCACAACAAACTGTCATTAAAGTAATCCATTCTCAAATCTCACTGAAGGGTTTAGATGACAAGAGAAAGTCAGAATTCAACATCAAATTATTGCTCAAAGTTTGGGAATTTTTAAACATACTGAAAAATATTAGTAGGGACTCAGACGTTTATATACCAATATTCACAGCAGCATTACTAAACAATAGCCAAAAGGTGGAAAAACTCAATTGTCCACTGACAGATAAATAAAATGTGGTATGTATAAAATATTGCTTATCTTAGACTACCACAATCTTTTTTATTACAGTCTTACTATAAAAAGTATTACTTTATGAATTCAGTCAACTTCATCTATGAAGAGGAATGATACTACCAGTAGCAAGGAGCAATATGAATATAATAAACATTTTTATCAGTGAAAATTTTCATATTATACAAAACAGCCTTATATCTCTTACTATAGAGAAATAAAAAGTCCTTTTCAGTAGGACAGAAATTAAGAGACTGACTTACCGAACTTGTACTTAACAGGTTTTCCAGAAGTTGTTCAATTTTGCCCGCTTGTTTTTTGACTGTAACTTCTAACTTGTCATTTTCAACTCCAAGCCTAAAATGAATATTTTTAAAATTACTCTCACTCACAAATTTTAAAAGTACCGTATAATTTCTAAACAAACAGCTGAAGGTCTTACATAAATTCTTAAAAATTTAAAAAGTAGAAGATCTGGCAATTGTGCCATTTTTCTGGTTGTGTTTTGTAGTTAATGTGCAAAATTTAAAGATAATATGCAAAATTTATGCATTTCAAAATAGCGCAAAGCTGAAACTTTTATCCAGCTTCACAATGATGTACTTATTATCGTAACTGATATCTTTCTCATACTACACTGCTTATCTGCTTTAGAAATACTCAAGTTATTTTCTGTGCTGCTTTAAATTGTACTTTTGCACGTGATCTTTCAACGTTTCAATACATCTTACAGCCTCTGCATGTCCATCTTGTGCTTCTTGCAACTAAGAAAGAAAAAAAAGAAATAATTTTAACTACTGGGAATCTAGTATAAAACCATCATCAGCTGTCTTTGTAAATAAAATTTTATTGGGTACAGCTACACTCTCCTCTCCATACTGATTTATGGCTACAGCAGAGTTGAACTGCTGCAACAGAGACCTATGGCCTACGAAGCCTAAAACATTTACAGGGAATCTGTTTCTCTCTCTCTCTCTCTCTCTCTCTTCCTCTGCCCTTCCCCACTGTCCCTTCTCTCTCTCAAATAAATAAAATCTTAAAATATTTACAATCCCCTTACAAATAAGTTTGCTGATTTCTCCAGTTACTAAAACATTTTTAATGTTTTTAAATTATATTTTATCAGCTAAACCTACAAATTTATATATTTGTCAAAGGGGGAAAGATAGGAAATTACCTTATGGGAAACATTTCCATTTTTGTATTCTAAGCACCACATCAATTATAATTTTAAATATTCACATATGTGAATGACCATGGCTATTCCAGGGATTATAGAAGTTAACATGTTGCTTTCAGTGACAACTAGATATTTCATGGAATAGTATGAGAGGCATTATCTTTGTAGGAACCACAATGCCTGGGGTCTGAATCCCAGCTCACTGGGTATTAGCTGTGTGACCTGAAACAAATTACTTAAAATTTCTGTGTCTCAGTTTCTTCTCTGTAAAATGAAGATAATAAAAGTATCTACCACACTGGGATGTGGGGAAGATTAATTTAGGAAATATACATGACCTCACTTTTTTTTATTTTTATTTTTTAAAGATTCTATTTATTTGACAGAGAGAGAGAGAGAGACAGCGAGAGAGGGAACACTAGCAGGGAGAGTGGGAGAGGGAGAAGCAGGCTTCCCGCGGAGCAGAGAGCCCGATGCAGGACTTACTTGATCCCGGGACCCTGGGATCATGACCTGAGCTAAAGGAAGACACTTAACAACTGAGCCACCCAGGCGCCCCTGTACATGAACTATTTAGAAGGGTATGTGGCAGGGCGCCTGGGTGGCTCAGTTGGTTAAGCGACTGCCTTCGGCTCAGGTCATGATCTGGAGTCCCGGGATCGAGTCCCACATCGGGCTCCCTGCTCAGCGGGGAGTCTGCTTCTCCCTCTGACCCTCTTCCCTCTCGTGCTATCTCTCATTCTCTCTCAAATAAATAAATAAAATCTTTAAAAAAAAAAGAAGGTAAGTGGCACACACCAAATTTTGTCTGCAATTAGCAATATTATAGTTGCTGTATGTTATGTTCTAAAAATATTTGATATTTTAGGCAGATGGCAGGCCAATGAAAGTGGTCTCTTATACAAGTTATATTGAAATTGTTCTTCCTACCACTGAAAGGGGCAGCAAATGGGGAGCATGAGGCCCAGAATAAGAATACATCCTCAGTACTTCAAAAAACTTTCACCAATTCCACTAGCTAACAGTACTTTTTCCACTTATAATTTTAACTTACTTCCTCTCTATACTACTCAGTGGACAATCTCATGAACTACAGTGCAAACAGTACCTCCTAGACTGAGTAATAAATATTTACAGGACCATCAGAGGCAAGGTAAAGCCACTGACATGGAAATAATGGACTCTTGCTAAATCAACATTCCCAAATCATTTCATGTTTACATTATCTTAGCAACTGTTTGTGTTACACCACTTTAGCAAGTACTCTGATGAATACATTAAGGCTACGCGGTATGGCATATCAGAAAAAACTGTCCCCAGGGGCGCCTGGCTGGCTCAGTGGGAAGAACATGCGACTCTTGACCTTGGGGTCATGAGTTCAAGCCCCACAATGGGTGTAGTAATTACATAAATAAATAAATTCACAAACAAACTTTAAAAAAGAGGTAAAAACAAAAAGAAAAAAGAAAAAAGAAAAGCTGTCCTCGAGCTTTATAGTTGGTAAAGTAATCTCAGTACTGGCTGCAAAATGAAGAAAGGCAAATTCAGACTGTTTTTCCACAGTGAGGGGGAATAAACAAGCATTTGATTGAACACCTCTCCTCTGTCAGATTAAATGCTCTCAATTTTACATTTAATTGCTTCAAATACATTTAGAATAAAAGCTTTGTTATGTCAGTGTTTTCAATCAGAAATTACTGACATGCTATAAAGTACTTAATTTTATCCTAAAAACTGTTAAGTTAAAATATTCTCAATTTATACAAGGATAGGTACCATGCATATCCCATACCTTCCCCCTTAGATAAACGTGGACGTAGAAAGACAAAATTCTCTCTCATGAAAAAAATAAAACCAACGTAAAATAAAGGACTAAACCGTTCTGCACAGACTAGATGAGACGAGTGTGAAGACAGTAAAGGCCGTGGGAATTAGAATAGTCAGAGAGAGCTTCATGGAGAATGAGAGACTAGGAGCCAGGTCTGAACAGTGCAGGACTAGGCAAGAGGAAGGGAAATTAAAAGGACAGAAAGGACACCACGAGGAAAAGGCTGAGAGAGGGTGAAATCAACCCAATCCACTCCGAGGATAAAATCTGACGGCAGGGAAATCAAAACAGATGCCCAGACAATAATTAAATGAACGTTCAGAGCAGCATTAATGGCCATAAAGTGGGAAACAACCCAAAGGTGCATGAAATGATGAACGAACAAGGGTTTTGGCCCACAATGGAGTACTGTTTGACAATAAAAAAACAATGAAGCACTGATAGACGCTGTAACACAGATGAACCCTGAAAAGAGGAAGTGAAAGAAGCTAGTCACAAAGGACCACACACCGTGTGACTCCCTGTAGATGAAATATTCAGAATAGGCAACTCCATAGAGGCGGGAAGTAGACTGGTGGTTGCCTGAGGCTGGGGGCTCAAGGACGAAGGGTTTCTTTTCAGGGTGATGAAAATGTTCTACTTGATGGCAGTGATAGTTGCACAACTCTATGAATACCATCAGAAACATTGAACTATACATGTTAAATGGGCGAATTGTATGGTATGTGCATTATATCTCAATAAAGTTTTTAAAAATTCCACTGGGGCCGCCGGGGTGGCTCGGTCATTAAGAGGTTGCCTTCGGCTCAGGTCATGGGGGCAGGGTCCTAGGATCCAGCCCCACATCAGGCTCCCTGCTCGGCGGGAAGCCTGCTTCTCCCTCTCCCACTCCCCCTGCTTGTGTTCCCTCTCTCGCTGTGTCTCTTTCAGATAAATAAAATCTTAAAAAAAAAAAAAAATCCAATGGCAGGACCTAGATAATTTTCTTAATTCTTAATTTCTTAATTCTATCTTTTGGGTGTATATACTACATATGATCTGAATATTTCTATGCATTTACAATATATCTAAAAGGAAAAGAAAATGAAGGAAATGCCTAAGTTCAACTGGTTTGTAAAATGACTTTTCTGTACAAGTTATCCTAAAATCAGTACAGATTCTATATCCATTCATAAAAGTGAACACGAGAAATAAGACAATTTTCTGAAACATTCCATTAAACATTATCTTCTGATTTTATATGGCTCACTCATCATGGTAACAGAGATACCATTAAAAAACATTGCAACTGAGTGGCTCAGTTGCTTAAGCATCCAACTCATGATTTCAGCTCAGGATCATGGAATCGAGCCGGCGTGGGGCTCTGTGCTGGGCAAGGAGTCTGCTCGAGATTCTCTCCCTCTCCCTCTGCCTCTCCCCGCACTCACGCGTGTGCATGCGCACGTGCTCTTGCTCTCTCTCAAATAATACATAAATCTTTAAAAAAATTGTTTAGTAGGAAAAAACAAGTCCCTCAATTTCTGTGAGGGATGCACAAGTCTCAACTTTCCTAAGGGTAAATACTGTAAGAAAAAAAAAAGTATAACACAAATAGAAGAATGAAAGTCAAAGTTTAAGAAATAAGTGCATTGTGAAGATACTAAAATTGCACTAAATTATAATGAAAATACAAAAGAAAGTGGTCCATGGAAATTAGCATCCTAAAACACTTTATATTAACCTGCTACAGATTAACTGTTGACACATGCTACATTCAAAACATACCTGACGTCTGTTTTGACCTAATTTCTTCCTCAAATCCTGTGTCTCATCTTCTAAATTAATACGGCAACGTGATGTAACCTCCAGTGAAGCCTCTGACATAGACTGTTTTTTTAGGGCATCAGCCAGTTCTAGCTGAAGGTGTCTCACGGCTACCTAATAAGACGTTTCTGTTACTGATTTTATAAATTATCTTACTATTAAGTTATGTTAATAATACGTAACTCGAACATATGTACTTTGAAAAATATCACCACATACAGGTGTGATCCTCCTGCCTGGTCAGTATTAGGTTACTTAGATAATTAATTCAGCCCCACTATCCATTCCTTGTTGATGAATCTGCAAAGCTTCCCAGCCTACTGAAGACTCAAAAAGAAATGGGTATATAGGTGAGCCTAGCAGTGGTAAATTCAACATTATGAAATGTTTTCCCTCTTTTTTATTAGAGGCTTAAATTAATGTCAAAGTTCCTCACATATTCCATCCTCTGCTCAAATCCTTCCAAGAGATTACTATCTCAGAACAAAAGTGAAGTCATTCTAATGGGCTTCGAGGCCCTAGATAACCTGGCTTTCACCTCCCTCCCTGACCTCCATTCCTGCTACACAAGAATCCTGCCGCCCCCCGTTAATCTGAAAATGGAGATCCAATGCCAAATTAATATATTACAGATATAATTCTCTTTGTATTGGACAAACTCATGCCCAAATGATAGTAATTGAGCTTTGAAAGAAGCAAATTATTTGTAAAATTGCCTTAAAAAATTATAAATAGCAGTGGGAAGATTAAATCAAACAGTTTTGCTAAAGCTCACCACAGTTGTCCCAAATTATAATTTAATGAAAAGTGCCTGCAAAGAGTTAAAAGGTCATAAGATACATGATTTCAGACTAAAAATTCAAATTTATATAAATAAAAATAAAATTATTCCAACCTAAGATGTATAAAAAGCTACCAAAGGAAAAGTACTGACATACAGCATCTACACTTCAGTTCATGTGGGAAATCTGGAATAAACCGTCAAGTCCATCCACTTAATTGAATCTCAATTTCAAAATGCTCATTTCAGGTATGAACATTTCCATTTATCTATTCGTCATGGTATTAAAATGTGGTGACAAAGATTAAAGTTATTATTTTAGCAGTATAAGACTAAATTATTAATATCAGCCTACTATCTATTAACAATTGATAACTTAACCTCTTAAACTTTCATAGACGACACAACAATTTTATTCAAATTAAAGCACCTCTCAAATCTTAATTTTTATTTACTGGATACAAGTTATGCTGAATTAGAGTCTCTCTATTTTTTATATTCAACTAGATTCAAAATTCAGCCATAATCATTCAGGTCATGATCTCGGGGTCATGAGGTGGCGTTCTCTGATGTGGAGCCCTCTTGGGATTCTCTCTCCCTCTCCCTCTGCCCCACTCCCATTCATGTGCAGGTGCACTCTTTCTCTCTAAAAATAATAATAATCAAATATTACTTTGAATTTTCTCTTAGAAAGCTTGAAAAATATTTATCTTTCTGGATACTTACTTCTCTTTCTGCTTTCTCCTTTTCATACTGATACATTCTTTCTTTTAAAAGATTACATTCATTGATTAACTCTTTATTTCTTTCTTCCAGCCAAAGACCTTGTTTTTCACTTTCAGCTTGAAGTTTTTTTATGATATCCTGAAACTGGTCTTGGATATTAATTACGACATTTTCTTTACTGGCAGCTTTGTTGTGAGCATCGTCTAGTTGCTGTTGAAGCAACATATTTTCACTTTGTAGTTGAGATAATCTCTCCTCTAAGGATTCCTGCTTTCCGTGTTCATTTTGATACATGTGTTTCATTTCCTTTTTCTGACACTGTGTTTGACTTAGGTCTCTTTGTACACATTCTAAAGCCAAAGTCTTTTCCCTGAGAGCATCTCTTGTGTGATGGAGCTCAATTTCTAGAGTATTGAATTTACTTTCAGCTTTAGAAAGGTTTTGAGAAAGAAGCTCATTGTTTTCTTTTAGGTTAGACACATCAAACTTCAGTTTGTCCTGCAGACGAAACCATTCATCTTCTGCTCTCTGGAAAGCAAGTTCTAGGTCTCTTTTTGATGCCTGGCTTTGATCATAATCCTCTATAGCAGTAGCTAGTCTAGCTCGGTAAGATTCAACTTTTCCGTCCAGTCTGTCTTTGTTTTGCTTTTCATTCTCCAGTTTAGACTTTAGCATTGTATTCTCAGTGGTCAGAGCATTAATCTGTCCACTATATTCTAATATTGTTTTTGTTAATGTTTCCACCTTCAGTTTTATGATCTCTTGAAGACTGACATTGTTTTCTTTTATAATTTCAATGCCTTCACAATATTTCTTTTCCATGTCCTGGTTCTTATTGTTTATTGTGTCTCGATCCAGTCTTAGCATGGCAATTTCATCCTGCCACATGTGGGTTTTAGGCAACAGATCTTCTTCTTTTTCATGACTATTAGAAATCTAAGTAAAACAAAAGAGACTTTTAGCTGGAATTCAATAAAATGACATTATCATGATTTTCTCTGAAATTAAAGAATAACCTATGTTTATACAATGAATAGGTTGCAGTTGGTGGATATCCCAACTGGAAAAGAATAAAGTTGGGTCCAAACCTCAAACTTTAGACCAGCATAAATTCCCACAGGTTCAAAAATTTAATTGAAGACAGTGAATGCATGAAAGGAAAAAAGAAACCAAGACAAAATGTTTAAGAATCTCAGAACTGGAAAGGTCTTTCTCTGATTTACAACAAACCCAGAAAGCCTGAAATAAAAGATTAATAAATCTGATAGATAACAGTCTGATATCTAACACAGCTCCCCCACAATAAGATCCCTAGCTCTGCATTTATTTTGACAGATTAAATTTCCTAAAATTCTTTTTTCCTGACAATATTCCATAGAAATTCTACTTTTCTAACGTTTCTATAGTCAGTTATAAGAATTACACCTACTGATAACTGACAAATCTAAGCACTATACTATAAACACTTCTACATACATCAGTGAACTTTTTGGTGTTCACAACTCTAGAATGGAGAGCTTAAAAACATTAAGTGAGCTGCAGGACTTTCCCCGGGTCTTCTTACTTCACTACTAGTGCTCTTACACCAAACCGCAGCTCTTCTCTAGTGTAAATCATAAATACAAAAGAAACCTTATGTTTCAAAATACTGATGGTAAATAAGGTAAAATTTATACAGCTCTTAGAAAAATCATGAGATTATTTGCTGCTGCAATAAATTTCCTCTTCATGATGTTTAAAATGTTTAAAATAGGGGAAAATACACTGAGCTATTTTAGTAGGAATACAACACTCATCAATACGTTATCATTAGCATATGATTGTTTCAAAAGCGCTTTGGATACTACTTGGAGCAAATGGCTACTTTCTCAAAAGTAGAGACTAAATCCAAAATAAAGTCTCTGAACAGGCTACACTCTTCCTCCTGTTCATCACTGGCAGTATTAAGCTAACTTCTCTTTCAATACAGAGGTGATGAAGTAACTGCCAAAAATTGAAACATATGTTGTTAGTAGCAATAGTTTTGAGCATATGGAAAGCTCATCAATTCTTATGGAAAATAATAAAAGCCTCTCCTTTGGATGAGGACATTATGAACGTCACTATTTGACTCTTGCAGACAAACGCATTTAAATTAAGGATATTACTTTATCCACTGGACCAAAAATGTCACCACCACCTAGGCCCCCCCAAATACATACACACACACACATATGCTTTAAAAATCCTCTATGCTTTCCACGATCTACGGTGTTGGTTTTTAAAAAATATATATGCATACATGGAGAAAAAGTAATTTTAGAAAATAAAATGTATATATATACAAATACATACACACATGTACTTAAAAATAACTAAAGAAAATACCCCAGAATTCATTCTGTTATTAGCCACTTCCATCTCCGTTTGTTTGCAAAGCTGATTCTTTAGAATTCCATCTTGTAATACTCTGGCATTCTGTTCTCCAGAAAGTTGTAACTTAGCGTCATTTCGCTCTTCTACAACCTAGAAGACATGTTTTCATTAGGATTTTGGATCACACCAGTAAAAAAAAAGTCAAAAGCTTAAGAGAACTAAAAAAAATGTTCAAAAGTAGTAGCCTTTTTAAATACAAGGATTTTTATCCTGCCTGAATAACTCAAATTTTAATTTAAATGACAGCTAAATTTGTCATAGAGTAAAAGTACAAGAAGATATAGAATGTGAAATAAAATTTCTTTACAAAACATTTAACTAGTTCCATCATAGTCTCAAGGCGATTTAGCCTGTATTTTAACATTAAAAATCCAAAACTGAGCCTGGGTGGCTAAGTTGGTTAAGTGTCCTACCCTTGCTTTTGGCTCAGGTCATGGTCTCAGGGTTGTAAGATCCAACCCTGAGTCGGGCTCTTCATTCAGCACACAGTCTGCTTGAGCTTCTTATTCTTTTCCCTCCCTCTCCCTCCCCCTTTACTCCTTCCCCTGGTCATGGTCTCTCTCTAAAAATAAATAAAATCTTAAAAAAAAAAAGGCAACATTCACATTTATCTCAATTTACCTTCTATCCCTTCATTCAGGAAATATGTAGAGAGCATATAGGAGAAGCCAAGAATCCCAATAAGTTAATAATTTTAGATAAAAATATTATAGTTCCTATTAGGATAAAATTAAAGTTTTTATCTGTTTTATACCTAAATAATATACATTAAATCACGGGGATATTATAAATAATATTGATCGAAATAGGCAATTTATATCAAAGATTTACCTGATCCAAATTATTTCTTACAGTCCTCAATTCCACATCTAGTGTTCCAAGAGAAAGTTCAAGTTGTTGTTTCATTTCGACTTCTTTATTATACTGCTCTTCTTTTTCTCTGAATTGCTCCCTCATTTTTTCATATAATATATCAGCATTTCTTCTTTTTTCTTTTTCACATTTTAAGGTAAATCTGCAAATAAATGTGCTTATTTTAAAATGTTTTGTAAGCGATAAAAAGTTCATTTTATGATCTGGTTCCAGATCATACGTTGGTTTATTATCCAAATGAAATTTCTATGTTCTCAATTTTTTTCCTTTCTCGGGCTCATGTTTAATTTCTCACTTCAATCTCTTCCAAAAGATATATATAGTTGAAAAGAAGCAATGAGAAAGCATTACGCAGCTTAGTAATAAGTTTTAGTACTAACTCTGGTAGATATTGTAGAGAAAGGAATTTTGAAATTATTCAAGAAAGTTAGAATTAAAAATTATCATTTTTCCCATACAGTCATAATCACTCCTCCTCCATTAGAACAGATAATTGAGTTACTAATTAAAAAGAGAAGTTGCTCTTTATAAAAAAGTTTATAAATTCACTAGAAGTACATTTCTATTTCACAAAACATCACAGGTACCTCCAAAAATAATTTGCAGTATAAGACAGCATCTGCAGATGTCATTTACACAACATACACCTGCAGATTACTGTGATCCAGAACTAGGCTGGGGAGTCGAATATCTGTTGCCCTATACATTTTATATTTCTTCTGCAATACTCTCAATTTACCTTGTTGATGATTATTCATTTTTTTTAAGATTTTATTTATTTATTTGACAGAGAGAGAGAGCACAAGCAGAGGGAACAGCTAGGCTCCCTGCCGAGCAGAGATCTGGAGATGGGGCTCGATCCCAGGACCCTGGGATCATGACCTGAGCCGAAGGCAGACCCTTAACCAACGGAGCCACCCAGGCGCCCCTATTATCCATTTTATAAATCATTTGAAAACCCCTTTTAGAACAACACAGGATCCACATTAAGTAAACAATAAAGAGTCGTACGTGCTTACAGCATAGACTTTTGGATTAATTTTATAAGAGAGAGATTGAAAAAACTGAGCAGTAATCATTTTCCATCTTACTTTTTAATCGCTGCGTATGTTTAAAACTGAATAAATTTTAAAAAGTTTTCCTGTCTTGAGAAAAATGGCCATTTCATACTCTGTTGATGGGCATACAAATTAATATAAACTTCCCTGAGAACAGTTTAAAAATAGGATCAAAGACCTTCTTTAAAAATTTTTATACTTTAAGCAAACAATACTATATTGAAGAATTTATTCCAAGTAAGGAACCAGAATTGTAGAAACAGATTTATATAAAAGATATTCCTTACAGCATTAATTAAAGTATAGAAAAATGGAAAATAACCAAAATTCAATTTGTTAAACAAGGAGGATTCCATATGGTGGACTTCTATATGGTCATTAAAATTATGATATGGAATATACATTAAATTATCAGTAGAAGTATTCACTGTCAAGAACTTGCTGAATTATTTTGAAGAACCTCATACTTCACACTACTAAAGAAGTTGTCTTCCCTAGAAAAATTCCAGAGGGTAAGGTAGCAATTGTAACACTTCTCCTACACATCTGTATTACAAAAGTAAGTAGTTCAAGGGGCACCTGGCTGGCTCACTTGGTAGAGCATGCAACTCTTGACCTCGTAGCTGTGAGTTCAAGCCCCACACTGGGTGTGGAGCCTATTAAAAAAAAAAAAAAAGGTAAATAGTTCAAATATTTCCTTAAAACCAAGATGTCATACCTCAAATGGCCAAGTTCTTGTTCCCATTTCACTTTTTGATGCCCTAACTGCGATTTCAATTCTTTTGTTTCTGATGGCTCCTTTTGTAGTCCATTAACCTTATTTTCCATTTTTGTATTTTTTCTTTTAAGTTGTTCTACTAATCTTTTATACGAAAGAATCGCATCCTGGATTTTTAGAAAAGTAGCAGAATCTACATCACAGAAAAAAACAAGAACAAATAAAACATATAGGGCGCCTAGATGGCTCAGTTGGTTAAGCATCCAACTCTTGGTTCC